AAAACACAAGATTCACTCAGGAATTAAACACTGCTGTTTGCTGCTGTGAAACGGCTTCTCCAAGAAGAAGAAAAAAATCATAGGGAGGGACTTGGTTTTTTCCACAGGGAATTGATTGGATGGTTGAATAGTTGTAGTTTGCTATTGGTGGATCTCATGTGAGTGACAGGTTGGAGGTGAAAGTTGGAGGGAGGTGAAGTTTTTTTTATTAAAGATTTAAGAGGGCAGATAATAATAAAAAAAACATTATATGCACAGAGAAATACTTTAAACATAACAAACACTGCAAAACTATGTGTGTTTTGTACATTTTGATTTTATGGTGACCTTAATTCTGCTTGACCACATTAAGAACGGTTTTCATTGTCAGAACAGTAATAGACTGGCCATATTGTAACTAAATATAAGTTAAAAATATCACACTTGCTAGTCACATGCTATGTATTAGGAACAACAGCACTTCCTCCTCCGCTCCTTTTCAGGTTTATAGGTTATTTCAACTTCCTATTTTTTTACAAACAGAATAAATTCGTTTTTTAATATATAAAGAAAGATATGGCTGAAATAATTCTAGTATCTGGTGATTGTTGTAACTTGTGATTCAACGTGTCTTGTGTTGTGTGCATGTCCAACGGCTCTTCTTCCCTGTTTACACCGTCACGCCGAAGCAATCAGGCCGTCAATCACGTGGATGTAAACTCCTTTGGCAGCCACTAATCTTCAGACACTAAAATCATGCGGCCGGTGAGCTGATGTGACAAGTGATGCACTGGCAGCTGGACCCTGATTTCACTATGAAACAGCAGGGTGCTGTCTCTAATTACAGGTGATAAAGATCTGTATTTGTGTTTTTTGTTTGTTTTAACTGATTTGCAATGGTTTCTATTGCACTTTAAATAGAAACGCCCTCAATTGGCACTACTGTTATGTAAAATGGTGTATGCAGGTTATGTTATAAGACAAGTGCTAATGTATTTTAAAAGCCATGTGTGTGCGTGCGTGTGTATGTGTTTTTTTGGGTCAGGCTTTTGTGGATAATATAATGAGAATATGAAGCTCGCATTTTAACCAATTTTATTTAGAGCCCCAAACTGAGCAAAAATATGCAATTTGGTGCAGTTTCTGATATATATATATATATATATATATATATAGCCAATGTCAAAGCTCATAACCATGACATGACATGTCTTGAATATGAAGTTTATGCATATTTTTGACAACAGTCATTACGTGTCTTTCGCTCAATAATGACATTTTTAATGCAAATATGACATTGTTTAAGATGTCTTTGTCATAACAACTTGACATTAAATGAAGTTAAACTGTCATGTGGTTGGCTTTGACATTGGCTGTCATGAGGCATTATAACTGTGTCATGAATATTTCTCATGACCTCAACTACAGTGGTACTAATTGAATTTGTCGTTAAAAAGTTATAATGGCTTCATGACAGCCAATGTCAAAACCAAACAACCGGACAGTTTAATGTAATGTTAACCAATAGAGCTGGTTTCTTAAGTTTGATAATTAATCTGCTATATCATGTTTATGACAGGTTGTGTTGTCTTAGTAATGTCAAGTTATCATGACAAAGACACTGACAGGTTATGATGTATTGGTTTATGTCAATGTCATATTTGCATTACAAATGTCATAACCGAGCGAATGACACTTAATGACAGTTGTCACAAACATGCATAAAACTTCCATATTCATAACATATGTCACTCATGATTATGAAGGTGTAATGTCAGTCTTATGCACAATCCTTCAAGTTAAGTGTTACCAAGTCTTTTTACTTGCAAAGAAAGTATAAGTATGGAAGGCATTTAGGCTATCATATATGATAGAGGTAATTAATGCACTTTTATATTACTATTATGTTAAAGTTAACACACAAGTTGCCCTCTGAGGTTGAATTAAACAAACAAACGCCAGCGCTGGTTCAAATAGCAAAGAAAATAGCCCTACCTTAAGGCAACGAGGAACCTATGAAGGGCAACGATCTGGCAGTCTATCCAAACCTATTTGTCAGCTGAGCATTAGCCAAATAGTCTTATATTTACTCTCCTCTTTTCATGTCTACCATCACTATATAGAACAACAACCAGTGTACAGCGGCACTGAATTACAATTATGTAAACACAAAAGACAGAAATCATTCCAAGTTTTTGTTTAAATGAAAAGCAGGCTGCTTATATTCGTGTCCAAATGTGTGTTTAGATGTTTAAATCATCATAATTTAATGCTCGCGAGACATATATCCTCCTGCACTTCCAGCGGTGGGTGTGCTGTGTTTAAATGAAACAGGTTTGTCTTCACTTGGTAGTCTTTAGTATACTCATAAGTGCATTTGTTTTGGGCTTGGCTTGTTCTCTGTCTATTCAAATGTGCATGGAATAATGTATATCAAACATTTACACAATAACCATTCATAGTTTCATATTTGGCTCTCTTTTTTGCATAACTGTTCAGTACAGTTGAATTTAGATTCATTGCCCAGTATTGTTTTGCAGTGCATCATAAAAGCATTTCATTTGGAAAGCGTATAACTTGAGTTATAAGAGGGTTTACCTCAAATGTGTTTTTATGAGACGTATTGCATAATTCAGTATGGCACATATGAGTTTGAGTCACTGCAACAATCTGACCTGCAGTTGATGATGTCGACAACATGATGATATGACATTTCTTTTGACAGTCATAACTCGGAGGAATCATTTACCCTACCTTTCAATCATTTGCTCACCAAGGCTTTAAAGGAGGAGTTCACTTTTAAAAAAAACTTTTGCTGTTAATTTACTCACCCCCATGTCATCCAAGATGTCCATGTCTTTCTTTCTTCAGTCGAAAAGAAATTAAGGTTTTTGATGAAAACATTCCAGGATTTTTCTCCATATAATGCACTTTACTGGTAACCAAACGGTTCAAGGTCCAAAAGACAGTTTCAGTACAAACTGTGAATTGTTGAAAGGGCTTTAAACGATTCCAGACGATGAATAAGGGTCTTATCTAGCGAAACGATCGGATCGCTCATTAAAAAAATAAATAAATAACAAAGTTTAAGTTTTATAAGCTCAAATGCTCGCCTTGCTCTGTTCTGTGATGCGCGTTCGTGACTCTCCTGTTCAAACTCGTTTATCAAAATGAATCAAAAGGAATCCTTTTTCGTGTCATTTGGTTCATTCAATGAACGAAATGAACGAATTGACTCATTTTCATTTACATTTTTGTTCATTTTGATAAACGATTTCGAACAGGAGAGTCACGAATGCATGCGAGTTTGAATGTAAAAGTCTTTACTGTCACTTTTAATAATTTAAATGCATCCTTTGCTGAATTATTAATTTTCTTTTAATTCTGACCCCAAACTTTTGAATTTGCTTTAATAAAATTGTGGGCCTATGGAGAAAATGTACAATTTGAACAGAACATGATATATTTTGACAGGGTTGGGGGTGAGTTACGTAATCAGATTACTTTTTTCAGGTAACTAATAAGGCAATGCATTATTTTTAAAAATTACACTGTAAAAAAATATGTTCATGATTTGTAATCACAACATTTTTTCTTTTGTCAAATCAACTTAGATAATTTATGTAGTTCAGATAACATAATAGTTTGAGTTTCTGATGATTAATTCAATCTCCTTCATTGTATTAACTAAATTTTTCATTTCAATGAACTTAAAAATTTAAGGCAACCAGGTTACTTATTTTTTTAAGTTAAACCAACAATATTTTTTTTTTTTACAGTGTGCCCACTCCGGCATGTTGAAAAAGTAATAGATTTTGGATTTTTACATCATCATCTTAAGTCTAAAAACAAAATGTCTCCTTTATTTAATACACTACTGATATACAAAGGACCTGTGGAAGGGCCCTTCATGACTGGATTCAGATGCTCATTTTTTTTTTTTTTTTTGGAACGCTCTGAAAAAGCCATTTGGAAATCGCCAGTGATGTTTAACTAAATTAATTTTTGCTTATTAGTATGACTCAATTGGATTACTGTAAGTCAGCTGTAAACACATTGGTCAATAAAATGAGATTTCATACATAAAGTAGGCTATATTTGTGTAATTTAACACATTTGATTGCAGGTTTGTGTAATATTTCGAGTTCACATTTCACTATTTTTATTAATTTTGCCGAATACGGAATCTGTTTTTGTGCAAGTGAGATGAGTGAATGCTCACATTAGTTTAGATATACAATAATAACCATCATGTTTCATCATCTGCACTTCTGATATTTTGTGGTAGAATTCTGTCCATCTCCATCATCTTCAGTCCTGTGGCAAAAAGTGACATTTGTGAAAAAAATTTGATATATATGTCTAAACTTTAATAGAGTATCTTTTTAGAAAATATTGTAGGCTATGCAATAGATGTCATGGTCTGAGGACTTCACCCAAAAATGAAAAATCTGTCATCACATACTCACTCCATGTCGTTCCAAACCTGTATAACTTTTTTTATTCAGTAGAAAATCAAAGAAGATATTTTGAAAGTTGGGAACCAAATAACATTGGAGAACATCAGCTTCCATATGCAAAAACACTTCTCAAATATCTGTCTCATTTACTGTAATATTTGGTTTTAAATAGGCCTATGTTGCTCGAAATGAGAGCTTGTGGCATGTGGCTTTCAAATGTCAACGTTTTGATATTTTGTTATGCAATATAAGGGCAGTGGGTTAACTGGATGGATGGATAGATAGATAGATAGATAGTTAGATAGATAGATAGATAGATAGATAGATAGATAGATAGATAGATAGATAGATAGATAGATAGATAGATAGATAGATAGATAGATAGATAGATAGATAGATAGATAGATAGATAGATAGATAGATAGAGGGATGTATGGATGGATGGATATATGGATGGATGGATGGATGGGGTTTCCTCATATGAGAGCAGAGGAGGAGGAGGAGGACAGGTGAAATCAGCTGGCAGCGAGGAGCTGCTTGTTCGCAGGCCTTTAGGGGGAGTGTTGAGACGCGTGGAGACTGAGACTGGCACCGCGTCTGTGTGAAGGGGGAGAGGCTGGGAAACGACGGGAGCACAAGCGAGGCAGAGCTCCACAGTCTGTGGCCCTCTGTCCTCTCGTCCTCGATGCCTGCAAAAAACACATCGCCCTGCCGACAACACGGACACTGAGCGACCGACCGACCGACCGCCCGCGCGCGCTCGAGACGCCACCGCCGCTGCGCCCGAGACCGAGAGATGTGCACGGTGAGTCAGAGCTTTTTTCCAGGGTGATCAGTCATGTTTTATGTAGGGCTGCTTTCTAGCGTGGTTTCGGATGGACACGCGTTATACAAGCGTTTGCCTTTTATAGAGGACATTTGGAAGAGTCAGATGCGCGCGTGTGGAAGGCTTTAATGCAGCATTAGCCCTGAGTTTTGACATGACGAATATGCAACACCCCTCTTCATTCACGCCAGCGATATATTCAGGATTAAACGTTCCGATGTAATGCCTGTCTTAGCTCGCACTGCTGATGTTGCCCTAAAGGTCGAACGGTCCCGCAAAAAAAAAAAAAAGTGAAATAACTGCAAAACAGCAGCTGCCGGTCTAAATAGATGTCATGCGCGAGGCTTAAGCCATAAGGCTTGATGTCCAATTGATGGTTGAGTTGTGGGTGTTTGCCTCTATGAAACAAGGCGATGATGACTGATGCGTTGGAATGTTTCGCACGCTATGATCCACCGCAGATATGGAGCGAGCGGACGCGCGTTCACGGCCTGTAGCGCGCTATAATTCAGCTCGTTTAGGTGAAGGACGGGTCTGTATAGAGTAGACCACACTTGGCGGTCGGGTGTGACATGCTGTGTTGCACAAGTATCCGCACACTGTTACTGTAACAGCCTCTTCGGTCGCTGCTGCGAATATGGTACAGCACACACACACACGCACTGAACACACACTCGGTGTTATGTAACGAAACATCTCCAAACGGCCTATGGGAGAAATGCTGCATAGTTCTTCTGGCAACATGAGCCATCGATGAAGCGCTGAAATTATGCAGCATGCATATGTTATGGCGATGGCGAACAGTCGTTGATGTTCATGTACACACGTCGATGCTCGCGTAAATATGTTTTTTTCCCCCCCCAAATTTTTATTTTTATCTTATTTTATATATATTGAGCTCATTTCCTTAAGAAGAAACGGAGATTTAGATTAATAGCAATTGGTTTTGTGACTGATGCGACATTGGGATCTCTACATGCGTTATGTAATATCAGCGCGCGGCTGTTGAAATGTCGTGCAAATGTCCCAGAGGAATACAGCACGATACGAGGGTGCACGTTACAGACACAAGCCCATTTGTGCAGAGGGCTACTCGTTTGTATGGCCTCTTCTAAAATAATGACTCAGAATAGATTGGCTGTGGGTGTTAATAGGTACTGTACTGTGTCATTAGTGCGTTCTAATGAGCGATGTTCGGTTCGTGAACGAATCCTTTTGATTTGGAGCTTGTTCACAGAACGATAACTGACTCGTGAATCGTTTCAAACCGGTTCTCGAGTGCTGAACACTAGCACTAGCTACTCGCTCTCTTTATAACATATTTTCTTATTTAATCCACAACTGATATGGCCAAAAGTAAGTCACATGTCGTTAATAGCCATACTTTAATACACAAAAATGCTCCTATAAAAAGTTTTAAAGTCCCCATGAAATCTAAATGGAAGTTTGTTGGCTTTAATATAAATATGTTAGCTTTACTGTCATCTCTAAGCTAGTGTGCTCCAAAATAGTGACAAAATTCGTATTTTGAAGATATAAGTGTTCAAAACTTAGTGTCTCACTTCAGTATTGGTCAATGATTTTAATCACATCGCTTCTCATCAGATTTACTGTCCAATCAAATGCTCTCTAGAATCTGAAATGTCCCGCCCCCTACAAACTGCAGCTGCTCTCACATATTGGTCACACATTTACCATTTTCTACATGGTAAATGGCACATAGCACACTATATAGGGGATAGGGAACGATTCAGACAGTGTAAATATGCTTTCCATTGGGGTGAATGTAGTCTGGTTTCATGTTAAGTGTCACATGAACCACCTCAGCTCCGGTCCAGAGACACGAGAGCACAGAGCGGAACATATGTGCGGGTCGGCACATGCCAGTTTTAATTACATTAAAACAACAAAAATGCTGTGCTGAACTAGCAAACATGAGTTATTAATGAAACGTAAAATAAAAACCACAACATGTGCCTTTATGTCTTTACTGGAACGTTTTCGACTACATAATTTGGCACGTCAGGGACCACGTCATTATGTAAACAACCACTGAATCCTTTTTTGAAATGAACGTTTTTAAGAACCGATTCACTGAGTCCGACTTCCCAAGTTCCCATCACTAAATGCCCTATGCGAGTGAATATGTGCCAGTAAAATGCTGAAGACAGACAGTAACAAATTCCTGTTTGTCCGTCAATACCTTTAAACATCACCAGCTGGTCCATATCCAGTTATGTGAGACAAATATGTGCTATGTGTTCATTTGTATAAGAATATTGTTAATTTATACATTCATTCTGCTGGTTTAAGCCTGCCAGGACTGAGTGATTGACAGCCAGAGGATCCGTTTAAGTTGATCTCTGATTATCTGTCATTTTCTGATTAGGCAGGATATACTGGGACTGTTGCTTTCAGATTAAAGAAGCAATTATCATTGATAGGAAGTGCCATGTGCTGCTACAGTATCCGATTGTCTTCTAAATAAAATACACTATACTATAGAAATGTAAGATAGAATAGTTAGGCAATGAGAATTAATAAAATAATGATGAGCAGTCAGTTATACACCGTTGCCCAGGGCAACTGTCATTATTCAGATATATTTGACTGGATGCCACAACTGGCCAATGCAAATCAAGTATCCTAGAGAACAGTGTATTATATCTTCTTATCCAGTGATACTTTTCATATGCAGTGTTGCAGTCACCAAAGCTTTATTTGCATGATTGAACATAAACAATATTGCCAAACTGTATAAAATATTATGCATAGCACATACAAATACAAAGAATAGACTCTAGAATCTTAAATGAACCTGTGTTATGAAAATGTACAGTGCCGCATTATGTATATGGTGATTTAAGATTAAAGGGTTCATGACATGATAAATCAAATTTGCCTTGATCTTTTGACACATGAGAGATATTTGTGCCATTAAAACACCCTGTAAGTTTCAGAGCTCAAAGTGTCTTCCTCATAAACAAAGCATTTATTTCATCAATCTCCAAAAACAGTTCGTTTTGATATTAAAGGATCTGTGACGTTATAGAGGCAACATATATTTGCATATGACCGCCTCTAGAGCAAGACATCGATGAATAGTTTTACATTATCGCACCATAGGCTCCGCCCACTGGCGTTTAGTCGCTTAACGGCTAAGTTTGCCTACACTGGATGTGGACGTCATGTCCATTATAATCACTGACGCTGTCTACACTGGATACAGTAGATTCATTTTCATTTCTGGCATTCTTAACGTGCTTGAGTCTGTCGACAACAGGACAAATGGACGTGTGAAAGAATGTTCGCTTTGACTGGTCCAGTTTAAACAGCTTGTTTGTGTCTCTGTACAGACTTCAGAAGGATCCCAGTGTCAGAAACAAGTGGATGGTTTATTTTAATGGCCATATGGATGTTGTGGATGGATTTTATGTTTTTTTGGAGCATTTGACTGCTGATTGTTTTGTAAATGAGGCACTGTGTAATGGAGAGTTAGCAAAGAAACTTGTTGAATGTTGAAGCAGTCAGCGGTAGGGCTGTGAAACGATTAATCGCGATTAATCGCATCCAAAATAAAAGTTTGTGTTTACAAAATATATGTATGTTTACTGTGTATAATCATTTTGAAAATATAAATACAGACACACACACGCACGCGTGTATATATTTAAGAAATATTTGCTTATATATATATACTCTATGTATATATATGTATAATTTGTATTTTATATAAATATTTTATATACAAATAACACTTTTTTCTTAAATATAAACATGTATGTGTGTGTATTTATTTATACAAAATAATTATATACAGTTCACACAAATATTATGTAAACACTAGGGCTGTGCAAAAGTTAATTGCGATTAATCGCATCCAAAATAAAAGTCTGTGTTTACATAGTATATTTGTGTGTGCTGTATATAATTATTTTGTATATATAAATACACACACATGCATGTATATGTTTAAGAAAATGTGTTATTCCTATATAAAATATTTATATTTATATAATATAGATTATGTATTTATATATATATATACAGAATTTAAGCGCAAATAATTCTTAAATATATACATGCATGCATAGGTATTTATATATACAAAATAATTATATACAGCACATTCAAATATATTATGTAAAACAGACTTTTATTTTGGATGCGATTAATCGCAATTAACTTTTGCACAGCCCTAGTAAACACAAACTTTTATTTTGGATGCGATTAATCGCGATTAATCGTTTCACAGCCCTAGTCAGGGGTATTGGATCTGACAGCAGTTACATCACAAACCGTAAATAAATGTTTTCAAAAACTTAATCGCATCCAATAACAAGTGGGCGTTTATACCGGTTACAATGCAATGACGTTAGCCAATCATAACAGTGGGCGTTTTCTAACACGCCTTAAAAGAGCCGCTTCTTAAAAACTGATCATTTTACACAGAATGAAGGTTGAAAATAATAATTTTTCCGCATATACTGTATTTGTTTGTTTGTTTGTTTGTGTGCAAAGAAACTTTATTAATATTATAAGCAAACCTAAAGAAACATATTAAAATCCAAGTCAGGATCCCTTAAAAAAGATGTTCTTTTAGCATAATACCTCATCCTTCATGACCTCCTCATGGACCCACAGCCATGCTAGAATAACATTTAAAGCTTAAAATATCGGTAACACTTTACAATAAGGTTCATTTATTAAACATTAGTTAATGCATTAACTAACATGAACTAACCATTTGTTACTGTATTTGTTATTCTTTGTTAACGTTAGTTAATACAAATCTAGCTGTTCATTGTTGTTCATGTTAGTTCACAGGGCGTTAACTAATGTTAACAAGATTTTTAAAAAGTATTAGTAAATGTTGAAATTAACATTAACAAAGATTAATAAATGCTGTAGAAGTATTGTTCATTCTTTGTTAATGTTAACTAATGTAGTTAACTAATGAACCTTATTGTAAAGTGTTACCAAAATATCTTAAATGCAAAACATGTAAATGTTTCTGAGACTTCTTAACTGGTTTACTTAGGCATATTGCTATTAATCATTGGGGATAAGGAAGTGAAGTGTATAGATTTAAGAGCTGCCAGTCATTCATTAGAATAACAGTGACAGTTTAGGGAAATGACCCTGGTGCTTTCCATATTTGTTTTATTGCTTTTAAGGTGCAGTGCAATTTCAACCTGTTAAATAGTGTTCCTGTCAGAGAAAGGGAATTTTAGACAATGTGAATGTATGTGTTGTAATAACTATCTACTACTAATTAAACATTTGCATCCTTTAGTAGGAAGACATTTGGATGTCTTAAAGGAGTAGTTCACTTTTAAAAAAAACTTTTGCTGATAATTTTCTCACCCCTGTATCATCCAAGATGTCCTTGTCTTTCTTTCTTCAGTCGAAAAGAAATTAATTCCAGGATTTTTCTCCATATAATGGTCTTCACTGGGTATCAAACGGTTCAAGGTCCAAATGAGAGTTTCAGTGCAGCTTCAAACGATTCCAGACGATGAATAAGGGTCTTATCAAGCGAAACGATCGCTCATTTAAAAAATAAATACAAAGGTTTAAGTTTTATAAGCACAAATGCTCACCTTGCTCTGTTCTGTGATGTGTGTTCGTGGCTCTCCTGTTTAAACTCGTTCATCAAAATGAAAAAATCTTTTTTCGAGCCATTTCATTCATTTCGTTTGTTGAATGAACCAAATGACTCGAAAAAAGATTCGTTCAACAGGAGAGTCACGAACGCGCATCACAGAACAAGGTGAGCATTTGTGCCTATAAAACTTTAACTTTTGTATTTATTTTTTTAATGATTTCGCTTGATAAGACCCTTATTCATCATCTGATGTCGTTTAAAGCCCTTTGAAGCTGCACTGAAACTCTCATTTGGACCTTGAACCGTTTGGTGCCCAATGAAGTCCATTATATGGAGAAAATCCTGGAATGTTTTCATCAAAAACCTACATTTCTTTTCGACTGAAGAAAGAAAGACATGGACATCTTGGATGACATGGGGGTGAGTAAATTATCAGCTGCTAATTATGAACTAATCCTTTAATTCAACAGTGAAAATGTCCAGATTCTGTAAATGTATTTTATTGATCTCACATTGTTTCTATCGATGGTTTATCGTCAACAGATCTGGATGTTATGAAGATACAGTTGAACAGAGTATCAGTAAAAGATCTCCAGAGCCATCTGGCCAGTCTACAGTAACTAAACGCAACTGGATTCCCTGATAGCCATCACTCACTTGTCTGAACTCCACATTTTTGCTTTCACTCATCCACTGCTCTAAATGAGTGTCCCGGACAGCAAGATCAGGGCTGGGTCGCGCACCAGAACCCACACAGGTAAAGAGATTCACAAAACCTCAATAAAAACACAAATTCTGAATCTTCTCTGATGAGTGTGTTTGTAATAACGCGATTAAAATTAATTTAGATATTTTTTACCTGATATCATAATGATAGCAGTTATTTGGTAGTTTGACATAATATTTGAATGGTAACACTTTACAATAAGGTCTCATTTGTTAACTTTAATTAATGCATGAACTAACATAAACTAACAATGAGTAATATATATATATATATATATATATATATATATATATTATATATAGACCATTTTGCAAGATGTGAACAACACTGGTCCAGAAGCACTTGCTGTTTCAGTTTTTTAACACTACATAAAATCAACAGAACATGTAAAACTGAATCAAAAAGTTAAACAAACATCTTTAAGATGTTGTCTTTACATGTGAAATAAAGAAAACAGTTACAAACTGAAACAGGAAGTGTTTCTGGACCAGTGTTGCTTACATCGTGCAAAATGGTATATATATATATATATATATATATATATATATATATATATTAACCTATGTTAAAGGAATAGTTAACTTAAAAATGAAAATTTTGTCATAATTTACTCACCCTCAAGTTTCAAACCTGAATGAGTTTCTTTCTTCTGCTGAACACAAAAAATATTTTGAATAATGTGGGTATCCAAACAGTTGTTGGACCCCATTGACTTCTATAATATTTTTTTCCTACTATGGAAGTCAATGGGGTCCAACAACTGTCTAGTTACCAACATTCTTCAAAATCTATATTATAAAACTTATTACTATTAAAATTTTTATTTTAAAAAAATGGCTTCACTTCTTATTAAAAAAAAAAATCTGTCATATAATGTTTTTGAAAATAACGATCAAGATTAATTGTAAAGGATGGGACGTATATATTATTTCTTTTTACTTATTGGCTGCTACGCCACTTGACATTTCTCGTAAATTGTAAAAACGTTTTTCAAAACCACATTAAACCTGTGTACATTTCTAAAGACCTGGCACAGTCTTATATATATATAGTGTTTGAATAAAGGGTGGGTTGTGAACTATATACTGGAGGTATATTTTAAGGGGCTAATTGAGAAAATTGCTATATTTTTTATTAGTTTAAAAATAAAATAAAAATCTCGGATTAATATCAGTATCGGACTATCGGCAAAAGCCAAAGCTGCGGCATCGGTATCGGTATCGGAAGTGAAAAAGTGGTATCGGGACATCCCTACTTTTAAACGTTTTGTTGTTGTTGTCTGACCCACAGAAGCATGGTACAATGCCATCATACTCTGTCTCTGATTGATTTTCCTAATGCGTCCCCACAGAATGTCCTGGATCAACGGCTTCCTAGTGGCCAGAGTGGATGATCGTAAGACCGTGTGGGGCGAGCGCAATGGCAAGAAGTCCAAGCGCAAGGTTGGCTCCTCTCTCTGCAACCCACGCTACATGAGCTGCCTGCGGGACGTGGAAGCCATGGAGCCTCCTCCCCAGCCGCCCCACTCTCAGGCCACCCGCTCTGGAGGAGGAGGAGGAGGAGGGGTGACGGGCGGGGGCAACTTCGGCATGCGCTGCGGATGGCAGGAAGACCACTACGGGAAAGTTGGGGGTGGGGGGGAGGGTATGGGGCTGAAATCCGTGGACCTGGGTTTCGAGGACGGCGAGGTCAGGGGGCGGAAAGGTGGCGGCCCGGGTTGCGACGGCTCCAGCGACGACACGGCCAGCGGGACGGGGTCAGTGACGGCGGCCGACTGCTGGCAGCGGGTGGTGCGCGTGTTCCAATCCAAGAAGTTCCAGTCGCGCAAACTGGAGCGGCTCTACCAGCGCTACTTTTTTAGGCTCAATCAGAGCTCCCTCACGATGCTGATGGGCGTCCTGGTGATCGTCTGTGGGGTCATGCTCACCTTCCACTGCATCCACGGGCCGCCCGACGTGGTCTACGCCTCCGTGCTCTCCGTGGCGATGGCCCTCTTCTTGGCGCTGATGGTGGTGTGCAACCGAAACGGGTTCCACCAGGACTACATGTGGATGGTCAGCTACCTTGTGATTGGAGTGTTAATTGTGGTGCAGGTGTTCGGGGTGCTGATGGTCGCCCCCCGCAGCGCCTCGGAGGGGATCTGGTGGTCCGTCTTCTTCATCTACATCATCTACACGCTGCTGCCCGTGCGGATGAGGGCGGCAGTGCTTAGCGGAGGAGTGCTGTCCTCCATACACCTCCTCACCACGTGGAGGATCAATCAGGAGGACGAGTTCCTCTGGAAACAGGTGGGTCCTGCTCTGGAGTCATCCATTTCAATTCTAACTAAGCTTCAGATTTGGTTTTGATTATATTTAAAGGTACAATATGCAAGATGGTTTCACCACCAGGGGTCGCTAACCTCTTACAATAACAAAGGCGTATATTAATGACGTATGTTCCGCATTAAGCGGAATTATGGATCTTGTCGTCAAGCTGATGGATCATTTATGGATGAGTGAATACATTGATGTTTTTAGCATGACTGTTGTATGAAGCAGGGCGCGATTGCTATACGTATACCAGCGCCACACGCAACGCGAGTCCCGCGGATATAAAGGAATAAGGATATTTCATTCTACCGAACTACACGCTGAATTACTCACACCGGTCAGTTTATTAGTAGGGTTGGGTATCGTTTGAGTTTGAGAGATTCTGATTCCGATTCAGATTCCTTGTTTCGATTCCGTTTCCTAATGATTCTCGATTCCGATTCTTTTAAGAGGCAGGGTCAAAAAAGTTTAGCTAACCTTGCTAACCAACAGCCTTTCTGAAGGAAATACTCCTGTAAAAATACTCCTTTTGTCACAAATTTTGCATTTTGCCGAGATTTCGTTATTTTTAGAAAAGTGAAGCCACACTTTGGACCGCCGACGTAAGGTACTCATGTTCGACTCGCGTGGTTATGTCAACACTTCCGGTAGACGCTTCTTCGTTGGTGTTGTTCAGCAGTTTCTTCTTCCGCTCGGCGGACTGTGAATATCAAAACTAGGAATCGAAATTTTTACTTTTGAACGATTCCGGGAAAAACGAATAGTTAGTCTCGGTTCTACTCGATTCTTGATACCCAACCCTATTTATTAGAGGAATTAAACTTGAGGTAACGCAGCATTACTTGAGGTAACGAGTGTGTTGAATGTCGTTACACTGTAAAAAATATTTTCAAGATTTGTTATCACAACATATTTTCTTTTGTCAAATCAACTTTATAATAATTTATTTAGTTGAGATAACTTATTATTTTGAGTTTCTGATGGTTAAATTAATCTACTTCATTGTATAAACTCACTTTTTCCAGTTCAATGAACTTAAAATTTTAAGGCAACCAGGTTACTTAATTTTTTAAGTTAAACCGTCAATATTTTTTTACAGTGTAGGTTGTTTGTTGGCTATATGAGACTAAGCTAGATTAAGCTAGAGAATAACATACAGATCATATAACTTTTCATTATGTTGAACTATATAACATTGATTAGTTTTATATACATTTGATTTGCTCTCCTGTTTGCTCTGTCAAGTCGAAGTTAGTCGCGGACGTGGAGCTCTCGGCATCTCGAAAGATGTTGATCTTCGTTTCAGTCCTCTTTTTGTCAAGTCAAGTCAAGTCACATTTATTTATATAGCGCTTTTCACAATACAGATTGTATCAAAGCAGCTTCACAGTGATAACATGTAAGTAGCACAACACAGATCAACAACATTGCTAAACACTAAATAACCCCAACTGAGCAAGCTCAAAGCAAGCCAAAAGCAAGGCGACAGTGGCAAGGAACCAAACTCCATCAGATTGGATGGAGAAAAAACCTTGGGAGAACCCAGGCTCAGTCGGGGGCCAGTTCTCCTCTGGCTTACATTCATATTGTTTAAATATAAATATAAATATAAATATATAAATATTTTTGTCTCAAAGTCTGCTTGCCATGGTCCATAATGTTTGAATAAAACCCTGCTTGGGACGCTCACGCTGTTGAGCTCGCATAACGGGCATAACCGACACAGTTGTCCACGTCTGTCGCCATGGTTACTATTGCAGTACGAGGTCAAACCTGGTGGAAAGGGGGGGTAACGCGGATATGACGTCATTGACTGGCGACTCCTCACCCCTGCTCACACGCCCCGTTTCTTTGGTTAAAAATCGCAATTTTCTCACGATTTACAAATAGCTGGAAGCATTTGGGATATTGTAAGTAATCAACTAAACAAAATGTATAACATTGGCCGAGTGGTTTTTGGATATTTTACTGCAAAAATCCTCCATATTGTACCTTTAAGTGTATTTGACTAGAGTTAGAAAAAAAGCTTTAAATGAATCCCATTTCAAACCAATGCTTGAGCTATAAAATTGCAGATGCTTTGGATGTTGCATCTTGCGTTGTTTTTTGAGCTCCCCATTAATGTGTCTTTTCAAGTGAAGAATATGTTAAAGATGTGAGACCTGCTGCATTCGGTTCCATTATTTTTGCTTTCAAGAAAACATAGTGTGAAAAAGCCCCATTAGAAATGTTCATTGTTTAGGGCTTGCCTTGCAGTCAAGGGGTCAATGAGATACTATTTTTTAGTGATTTGTTTTAAAATGCATGAAAATGCAATTCATAGATGGAGTGACTTTCTGAAATTTCTGAATTATCTGATATCAGGAAGAAGCTTTGTTAAAAGAATGAAAGGAAAAGGTTTTCTGTTCAAGTACTTTAGCATAATCTTTTATTACTACTTTTTAAATCAAGGTCATGTGCAACATGCAGAATCTTGCAGACAAAAAACAAAACAGGAAATGATATCATAGAGAGAACCCCTGTAGACCCTCGTCACCATGTGTGTCAAGTTCAATAAGTCTCACATCAGATAAATAGAGGATGATCTTTATATGACAAGGCTCAGGTTTCGAAATCTAATGCAGTGCTGTGCACATCCCCCCAAACCTAGTTATATTTATGAATGGTTAATTCTTGATAGTTGTGAAAAAAAAATACATTTTGAATTAGAATAATATTTAAAGGAAATGTATTTTATATATATAATAAATAATAATAATAGTTATAAAAAATAATCTTGACCATGGTCATAAGAAAAAAACAAAGAACTTGGACTTGGCATGTGTTTTAATCTAGATTTTTTTTCTTTATCATAGAAATTTTTACTAAGACTGATTAGTTCAGGCAGCAAGTAGCTTTAGAAAATAGGTAGTTATACAATATTTAGGGATATGCATATTCTTAATCAGAATCAGAACTATTACATTTTGTCTGCGTCTGAAATCACTCTTGAGTTGGTACTTATTTTGAATAAGTAATTACTACATGACCACTAAAAATGTAGTATAAATGTAATATTGACATACTACATTTTCATTGTTGACATTATCATGTGAACTACCAGTGTCAGTTCCCAGAAAGCAACTTATGCCCCTTTTCCACCAAAGCATTTTGAGAGCCGGTTCGGAGCCGGTGCCTGCGCGCAAACCATTTCTTTGTGTTTCGACAGCCAAAGAACCGGTTCTTGGACAGTTAAACTGGTTCCAAAGAGTCACCAACTCTTTGCTGGACTAGAACCGTACTTTTACCCCGTCATGTTTACGTCGGGGACTGGGGAAAACAGAAAGCAGAAAACATCTTTTCTGACCATAATAAAGGATCGCAAAGTCAGCAGAAACATTTGCAGAAACACAATGGAGTCCGCCTTCGTAATTGTTATGCTTGAAGTTGGCGCAAGCGTCTCTGTTTTTTTTTCAATTGAAAACATAAGCAAGGACGAAAATATTCACAATACAGAACAAATAAATGGAAAGAAAAAAAAAGACACAAGACATGGGTATATAACTGACCCTAATGTCAGAAAAGATTACATATCAAAAGAAAAGATTAAAAGACTTACACATTTCAATTGTTTTAAGCGTTTCTAGCTAAGACGTATGGTGACGTACACAGTGACCTTGTTCCCTGAATGTTATGTTCAGGGATATGTAATGTCGTTATGTTCTAGTCAGTGGAAAAACAAACAGGTTCTGAGAGGGTTCGCAAGTTGAACCAACTTTGAACCAGCACCAGTTCCGAACCAGTTTTGTTTTGTTGGAAAAGGTAGTGTTGGCCCAGATCCGGCCCACATCTGGGATGCGTTGACACTATGTTTTTGACTAGGTTGCGTCGCTTCACCTCCATTCACAAACCCTCTCCCGTGGCCTTATGGGATAGTAAAGTGCCAATCATTGGTCATCCATGTATTTTTTTACCTGCTCTTTTATGAGTACTGTGAATTCAGACGTACTCCTTTTGTCACATACTGTTTTTCGCCTATTATATAGTAGGGAACTATGTGATTTCGGATGCAGCCTTTGTCAACCAACACACATTAAATAATTCCCATAATGATACCAGTACTAATCCTAAAGGAAAATAGTTTTGCGGCAGTGTGTTGTTAACTTGAGAGATTTTGATGCAGAGCAAATATACAGTACGTTATGAATACACAGTACATATTTCATTATAAACAATATATCTTTACACATACACAGCACTTCCATTTATCTATGTTTAGTGAGGTTTGACTACTCATACTGTATCTGTATTTATTGCCCTTGCCCTGGAAGTGTTTAACATTAAAGCCATGCTATATTGTACAGTGTCAAATTATACTCAGAATTGAAATCCACCGTGGTAATCAGTCACCTGATCATATGGGACTGAGCTGGTGGCACTGAATCCCAGAATCTGTTAGTCATACAGTAATATTTGGCTTTTCATGCATGCATATTAAATGCAATCTACAACAGAAAATAAAAGTTGCAGACAGTGCTGTTTTGAATGCCCTATTGTTTTTGTCTGCTAATAATGATTTCTTGTCAGTGTGTTGTGATAATTCTTTTAATAGGTAACTTGTTGGTGAGGTAGCCATTCTTTTAGAGAATTGATTCTGTCAAACGTCATGTTAACACACTTTCCTAGTAAATGTTTTCTGCTTTCACGGTATTGACCCAACTTAGCTGACAATCTGTGATTGATGTGTGTACAGACCAAGGATATTTCCCAAAAGCATTGTAGTAGATCATCATAGAGATCATTGGTGCCAATGGTTTCTACAATCTTTTTGTTTTTTTGATGCTTTTGGGAAACGTAGCCCAGGATAGCTGATGATGACCCATATAACTTGGATGATAGCACATGAGATGTACATAAAATTGCTGAAATTAAACACTATTTCCCTACAATTTGTACTCATGATGTACTCATGAGGTACTTTCTGCTTATCAACAGAT